CTGGAGCTCTATATAAGCAGGCTGACTGAGCTCCTCAGTTAGTTCTGTTCTGGCATCTGAATAAAGAAGAGCTGTTTGAAGAATCGCTGTGTCGTCTGATATGTTCAGGCAGTGGAAGCAAATACTAATACTAATCATTTATTTATTGTACCCCATCCATCTGACTGGGTTGTCCCAGCCATTCTGCACCTGGCTGATCCAACAGGGTCATTCTTAGGTTCTTAATAACCCCTAGCATAGGATTTGCCCTCTTGGCAGTTGCCACAAATTCCAGGGGAAAAGGTTCTGTCCTCATCTGTTCCCTGACATGCTGGCTTTCTATAAGCCAGGATTTGCTGCTTCTTTCATGGAGAAGCATTCAGCTATCTCCCACAGGTTCCCTAAGTCTGCTCCTCTCCCAAGCAACCTGAGATTTCTTCGCCTTATCTCCCTGTGCTCCGCCCTCTTCATCCCTTTGCAGATTCAGAGTGATCAAGGGGAGGGGAGCTGGTCAGAGCAGGAGGGGGAGACCCCCTAACTTAGTCACCAGCCTGACTCATCTCTGCCTCCTCTCTGCCACAAAATACTTTTAACACCATACAGCTTCCTTCACCCATTAATACCTTGGTTCTTGAGGGTCACTTTTCCTCAGTTACCCACTCTCTAAGCCTGGGGTCCTTAAACTTTTTAAACAGGGGGCCGGTGCACCGCCATTTCCTGCTCCGCCGTCTCCACGTCTGGCCTGGGACCCCCACAGCACCAGAAGCCAGACAGCCAGCAGCAGCAGCAGCAGCGAGAACTGAATTTAGGACCTTGGCGGGCCTGATCCGGCCTGTGGGCCGTAGTTTGAGGACACCTGTCTTAACCTGACCATAAGCCCTCTCTCTTCTCAAATCCATCCCTATCTTCTCAAATCAAGCCCCATCTCTTCACCTGACCCGTAGCCCTATCTCTCTCTCTCTCCCTCTTTTTATCCTCCCTCTCAAAGTTCTGCTCCTCCCCCTTCTGTGACTTTGTAGCCAATCGGTGACAGGCTCCTTCACTCTGACAGAATTTCAGGGAGACTGCACCAGCAGACTCTGGCCTGGCTGTGCTGTCCGTCACACCTGTCCTTAAGTCGAGGGGTGTCTGGGTTCCTTGACAGTGTGTGGCCAGTTCCTTCTTGGAGCTCGGGGAGCTATCTAACCACCTAGGGTCTTTGTACTAATTTTAGCCAATGCATTCGAATGGAGAAGGGAGGGGAGCTTTGAGTTGAACAAATCCTTTAATTCCAGTATTTCTATTGTTCTACTGTCTCTTCCTAGAGGGTTTCCCAAAAAGGGACACTGGTGGCGCTGTGGTCTAAACCACAGAGCCTAGGACTTGCCGATTAGAAGGTCGGCGGTTCGAATCCCCACGATGGGGTGAGCTCCCGTTGCTCGGTCCCTGCTCCTGCCAACCTAGCAGTTTGAAAGCACGTCAAAGTGCAAGTAGATAAATAGGTACCACTCCAGCGGGAAGGTAAACGGCGTTTCCGTGCGCTGCTCTGGTTCGCCAGAAGCGGCTTAGTCATGCTGGCCACATGACCCGGAAGCTGTACGCCACCTCCTTCGGCCAATAAAGCGAGATGAGCGCCGCAACCCCAGAGTCGGCCACGACTGGACCTAATGGTCAGGGGTCCCTTTACCTTAGCGAGTTTCCTGCTTATTCCCCATTGTTGTTGAAGGCATGATGGTGGCGCCTGCCGGTGCTTCAGAAACTTCGGCTGCTGCAGAATCTGGCAGTCAGGTTGCTCACCGGAGCAAGACTGTGTGAGCATATTACACTGATCCTGGTCCAACCACACTGGAAACCAATTAGTTTCTGAGCCCAATTGAAAGTGCTGGTTTGGACCTATAAAGCCTTAACAGCTCAGGATCACAATACCTCAAATATTGCCCCAGGCTGGATATCACCCTCTAAGACACTTCTTAATGTGCCTCCTCCATGTGTGGAGGGTGACAAAACAAGACTGGGACTTTTCTACAGTGGCTCCGTTTGTGGAAAGCTCTCCACAGGGAGCTTTGGCTGGCACCTTCATTATGCGCCTTTAGGTCCTGAGCGAAAACATTCTTCTTCAACCAGGACTTTGGCTGAATAAAGGGCAGTAATAAATGAAATATACAAATGTCTGTAGTAATAAAAAACACATCTTTGTGGGGAGAAACTCTCCTGCACAAAACTGCTGCATTAAAAATAAAAATAAAATTTGCTATTGCATGTACAGAAAGTGGGGAAGGAGAAGGAAGGGACCAGCGGCCTTTTATGCGAGTGATTCCAAATCCTTGCATGACTTGCAGGCCACACAAATATTTTTTTTTAAAGTTGACTGCCCTTTGGGGCAAATCTGGTACATCACAAAACATGTATTTCACAAATTCGTTTTCCAAAATGGTGTGTTTCCGGGCTTAGAGCAGCACACATGATGTGGAAATTCATGAAGGAGTTCCTGACCAGAGATCCAAATAAAACCAGGTAACGGAATCAAAAAATATTTATTGTGCACACCGAGGATTTATTATCCGCTTCTCACAGGATTTTTTTCCCACGAACAAAAATATAGCTGGGACTGACCGCTGAGACCATATAACACCGGTCCTGAAAGACCTACATTGACTCCCACAATTCCAAGTGTTAGTGCTGACCTTTAAAGCCCTAAATGGCCTCAGCCCAGTATACCTGAAGGAGCGTCTCCACCCCCATCGGTCCTTCTCCAAAGGCCTTCTGGTGGTTCCCTCACTGCAAAAAGTGAGGATACAGGGAACCCTGCAGAGTGGCGCCCGTCCTATGGAACATCCTCCCTTCAGATGTCAAGGAAATAATAAATTGATGTTTTATTGTGTTTTTAATATTCTGTTGGAAGCCGCACAGAGTGTCTTGGGAGGCCCAGCCAGATGAGTGGGGTATAAGTAATAAATTTATTATTATTATTATTATTATTTGTACTACTACTACTATAGGATTCTGTGGCAGTAACCAATCAGCTTCTAACATGTTAAGGCATGAGAAATACTATTTTCTTGTTACTCACTTTTGCCTATACAGTCCATCTATCTGTACGTAACTGTTTCTGCAAAAGCCTACAAGCTGTATATGTTTATTGTTTGGACCATTATGGTCATATGACATATATACATAAATATGGCATTAAAATACAGTATCAGTCTATATTACACACACACACAAATAAGTTTTTAGATGTCATTCCCAATTAAATCTTTACAGTCCACCATGTTCTCCTCAATGAACATTGTCAATTTTTGGGCAGCAACTTTGTCACAGATTTCTCAAACAAGACAACAAATATGTGACTTTCAGTTGATCATCCGCATCAGGTATCTTACATAACAAATCAAGGATAACCTTGGTTCAGAATAGAGAGAGCATATTGGTAGAGGTCTACTACTTAGTTAAGGCATACACAAAGATGCTGTTCTGCGATAATTTTTTATAGCGTCCCTCTAAATATTCTGAGCACATAGTCTGAAAACAAAAGTCAGAAATGCTTGCCTAAATGAACAGATTGGTAAATCAGAGGGGAAATTCTCAAGTTCGTGTCTTATTTTAATTAAATACCAATGTGGGGCAGTGTTCAAAATTAGCCAGGCGCCAGACACAGTTTGCACCTGGCTACTGGCAACTTATCACTAGACAGATGGATATACATACTCCCAAAACTGTTTTACTGAGCCTGAACTTTTGCGACAGTAAAGTATTTGGTCCTTAAGCTGCTTCCTTGCTGTACTGGAAAAGCCCTCGTGCATGGATGAAGGTGAAGAATTGCACATCGTCAAGGAGTGAGCTACTAACTCCCTACTAGGAAACACTGGTCTGCGAGTGCTCCAATTGGAGAACAGCTTTTACCACTGTAACGGAAGCTCTTTCCACACATCAGCTTTCATAGGGTTAGTCTCCTGAATGAGTTATCCGGTGTCGAGAAAGGTGATTACTGCGGCGGTAGCTCTTTCCGCACTGCAAACGTTTATATGGTTTGTCCCCTGTGTGAATTCTCCTATGTGCATGAAGGGTGCTAGAGTCACTGAAGCTTTTTCTACATTCCAAGCATTTATACGGTTTGCCCCCTGTATGAGTTCTTTGATGCAAAGTAAGGAGGCTACCGAGACCAAACCTCTTTCCACACTCCAGGCGTTCATGCGGTTTGTTCCCTGTAAGAGGTGTCTGATGTCATTTAAGGTGAGAATTGCACTTGAAGCTTTCACCACACTCAATGCACTTATATGGCTTCTCCCCTGTGTGAATTCTATGGTGCATGTTAAGGGACCTGCTGTGACTGAAGCTCTTTCCACACTCCATGCATTTATAAAGTTTCTCCCCTGTGAGTTCTTTGATGTTTAGTAAAGGTACTATAGTCACTGAAGCTCTTTCCACACTCCATGCATTTATAAGGTTTTTCACCTGTATGAATTCGTCGATGCACATTAAGGGAGGCACTCTGATTGAAGCTCTTTCCACACTCCATGCATGTATATGGTTTTTCCCCTGTGTGAGTTCTTTGATGTTTAGTAAGGGTACTACTGTCAAAGAAACTCTTTCCACATTCCCAGCATTTATAAGGTTTCTCCCCTGTATGAGTTCTTTGATGCAAAGTAAGGTAGCCACTGGATCTGAAGCTCTTTCCACACTCCATGCATTCATAAGGTTTCTCCCCTGTATGAGTTCTTTGATGCACATTAAGGTAGCCACTGTTTCTGAAGCTCTTTCCACACTCCATGCATTCATAAGGTTTCTCCCCTGTATGAGTTCTTTGATGCTCATTAAAGCAGGAACTCCAACTGAAAGTCTTTCCACACTTCATGCATTTATAAAGTTTCTCCCCTGTGAGTTCTTTGATGTTTAGTAAAGGTACTATAGTCACTGAAGCTCTTTCCACACTCCATGCATTTATAAGGTTTTTCACCTGTATGAAGTCGTCGATGCACATTAAGGGAGGCACTCTGATTGAAGCTCTTTCCACACTCCATGCATTTATATGGTTTTTCCCCTGTGTGAGTTCTTTGATGTTTAGTAAGGGTACTACTGTCAAAGAAACTCTTTCCACATTCCCAGCATTTATAAGGTTTCTCCCCGGTATGAGTTCTTTGATGCACATTAAGGTGGCTTCTGCTTCTGAAGCTCTTTCCACACTCCATGCATTCATAAGGCTTCTCCCCTGTATGAGTTATCTGATGCACATTAAGGTGGCCACTGTTTCTGAATCTCTTTCCACACTCCATGCATTCATAAGGTTTCTCCCCTGTATGAGTTATTTGATGTCTAATAAGCATGCTTCTGGCACTGAAGCTCTTTCCACACTCCATGCATTCATATGGATTTATATGGTTTTCCTGTGTGTGAATTATATGATGCATTTTAACAGACTTGCTGCAACTGAAGCTCTTTCCACACTCCATGCCTTTATAAGGTTTCTCCCCTGTATGAGTTCTTCGATGCACATTAAGGTAGCTACTGCTTCTGAAGCTCTTTCCACACTCCATGCATTCATAAGGTTTCTCCCCTGTATGAGTTCTTTGATGCAAAGTAAGGGAGAAATTCTGACTGAAAGTCTTTCCACACTCCATGCATTCATAAGGTTTCTCCCCTGTATGAGTTCTTTGATGCACATTAAGGTAGCCACTGTTTCTGAAGCTCTTTCCACACTCCATGCATTCATAAGGTTTATCCCCTGTATGAGTTATCTGATGCACATTAAGGGAGGAACTCCGACTGAAGCTCTTTCCACACTCCATGCATTCATAAGGTTTCTCCCCTGTGTGAGTTCTTTGATGTTTAGTAAGGGTACTACTGTCAAAGAAACTCTTTCCACATTCCCAGCATTTATAAGGTTTCTCCCCTGTATGAGTTCTTTGATGCAAAGTAAGGTAGCCACTGTAACTGAATCTCTTTCCACACTCCATGCATTCATAAGGTTTTTCACCTGAGTGTACGCTTTGATGTCTAGCAAGGGCTGAGCGACTACAGAATCTCTTTCCGCACACAGTACATTCATGTTTTTTCTCCACCCTGTTAATCTGATTTTCATCTTCTTGGGAAACACTGTGTTCATCCCTTGGCTTCACTGTTTCTCTCCCCTCTTGTTTGTTGGCTCCATCTTGAACCCCCAACTTCCTTTCCTTCTCTTGCTCCTCACCTCTTTCTGGCCAGACTTCTGATGGCTCCTCCTCATCCAGGACCCCCCAAACATCTCCTGATGGAATAAAAAATTTAAAATAAAGGTTGATACAGCTGCTTCCTTATCAAAACTCAAGGCCTGGCACTATGTTAAAGGCGTTTTACATAAAAACAAATGCTGTGATACCTGGTTTTAATAAAATATCACCATTTAATCAATGGTTATTTGTATCAGAAAAGTTCTGGTGAGCAGTCCCTAAGATTAACCAAGCCACAAATAACACAATTTAAACCAGCAGGCAATAACATCAACAGAGCCTGCCTGCCTATGGGCCTGTGTGAGGCGGCTGCCTCAGGTGTCACCCCCAAAGGGGCGTCACTGCTCAGCTTTGCTGCTAGTCTCCCCGGCCTCCAGGGGCGAAGTGGGATGGGCAGCAAAGCTTTGTGAGTCCTCTCCCCTCCAGCCAAGTCCAGAAAAGGATCTTCCCCCAACAAGGGCATGTCCACAAGAGGGCAGACATTCCACCATTCAGCTTTGTCAGGATCTGAAAAGGCTCTTTGCCAGTGAATGGGGAGAGGCGTCTGCACCCCTTGGAGGTCTGGAGGGGTGAGGGGGGACCACCCCACCCAACTTGCAGGGGTATGCGCCTCATGGATTTTGAGCCCCCATTGTGGGGCAGAAGTGAGGCCATCCCTGAGCATTGATAATACAGCACTGCAACTCAGAGAAGCTTGAAAAGTCTAGATCTGCAGAGCTTGTTGAAAAACCAAAATGAATAATAACAATAGTAGCATTTATTTTATTTATATTCCAACCGTCTGGCTGGGTTTCCCAAGCCACTCTGGGTGGCTTGCAGCATATATAAAAATGCAATCAAACCTCAAATATTAAGAAACAGAATATTATATATATGCAACAAACAAACCAATACATCAATAGAAACCAATAACAATAACAAGATACTCAAGTATTCTACAAATTAGGATCCCCCACACAGAAGATTTTTAGTATGCTTTTTCCACCATTCTCTCACGCTAGATTGCCACAATGCATTATACTTCAGGCTGCTTTAGAAGACCGTTCAGAAACTACAGAGTGATGACCGGTGCAAGATGCTCTGAGCACATAAAACCTTTTCTGGGTTGCTGTCTTCAATTCAAGGTGCTGATTTTGACCTATGTAACTCAAGGACTGAAGGGATGCAGGTGGCGCTGTGGTTAAACCACAGAGCCTAGGACTTCATCAGCAAGGTTGGCGGCGAATCTGCGATGGTGACTCCCGTTGCTCCTTCCAGCTCCTGCCAACCTAAGCAGTTCAAAGCACCGTCAAAAGTGTCCAAGTAAGATAAATATGGACCGCTCCGCGGAAGTAAACGGCATTCCAGCCACTGCTCTGGTTCGCCAGAAGCGGCTTAGTCATGCTGGCCACATGACCCGGAAGCTGTACACCGGCTCCCTCAGCCAATAAAGCGAGATGAGTGCCGCAACCCCAGAGTCGGTCACGACTGGACCTAATGGCCAGGGGTCCCTTTACCTTTACCTCAAGGACTGCTTCTCATGAATCCACCTAGAGCCTGCACTCATCATCAGAGGTCCTTCTCACAGTGCCCTCTCCAACTGAGGTGCAAAGAGAGGCAATACGGAATGCGTCTTTCAGTGCTGGCTCCGCACCTAAAGAATGCTGTCCGCCAGGGAGGCAACCCAGAAGCCATCACTCGCTAATTGTAGCAGAGAAGCAATAATATTTATTCTCAGCCAGGCTTCTGGCCTTTAACTTAAGAGAAAAACAAACACGGTGACCTCCTTTAGCGGAGCTGAAGGGAGGCACTCCGAGGAACCCATACCTATTATAACTATTAACGAAGGCGAAAAGGATCCTTACCCTGAGAGGCCACCATCTCATGAACCTCCACCATGACGTCCTTGTACAGAGCTCTCCGTAGGGCCCAGTTGTCGTTAGTGAAATGCAAGGACACCTGTCAAAGCTCACTGATCCCTGGAAGGACAGAACAATTCCCTTCCTTATAGACACTCCAAGGCAAGGTGTGGAAACCATCTCCCCTCAGCTCCCCCTCCGATGATAGATGGGGCAACTGGAGATTTTACCTTCGGTGTTTATTTGTTTTTTTTAATAAGATGTGAAAATCTGGATAACTAAATTTAAGACTGGGGAAATGAGTGTTTTGTCCCACCCCATACTCCCTCCTTCCTCAGGTGTGTAAAGACCATACATGCTGCCCAAGAGACAAAATGGGAAGTGGAGAGGGATAATTTTTTCAATGATGGCTTACGCATACTGGTTTCTAAATTGGTTTGTGGGTTTTAGTTGTGTTCTAGCTCCCATTGGATCACTGTGCCACTTGAGAGACCTTTTGGATCAGGTGTTTAGAAATCTTGAACATAAGATAAAATTACTACAGCTGCAGATGGCCAGTTATATCCCCAGGGGCCCACCTTTTTTAATGATATATGTTTAGTACATACATTTTGCAGAGGAAAAGTTTTTTCTCATGGTTTAATTTGCAGTGGACCTATGGCCTTCGATACAATAAAATGCTAAAGAGTCTTAACTGAGGAGGATCCTCTCCTGCCATAGAGTCTGCAGCTCCTTCTGCACTCTATGGGGCGCTACCTTTGAAGGTGACCCGGAAACTAGATCAAATCCAGAATGCAGCAGCTAGACTCGTAACTGGGAGCAGCAGCCAACTAAGACCTGAAAGACCTACATTAGCTCCCAGTATGTTTCCGAGCAAAATTCAAAGTGTTGGTGCTGACCTTTAAAGCCCTAAATGGCCTCAGCCCAGTATACCTGAAGGAGCATCTCCACCCCATCGCTCAGTCCTGACACTGAGGCCCAGCTCCAAGGGCCTTCTGGCAGTTCCCTCCCTGCGAGAAGTGAGGTTACAGGGAACCAGGCAGAGGGCCTTCTTGGTAGTGCCCCCCCCATGTGGAAAGCCCTCCCATCAGATGTCAAGGAAATAAACAACTATCTGACTTTCAGAAGACATCTGAGGGCAGCCCCGTTCAGGAAAGCTTTTAATGTTTCATCTTTTATAGTGCTTTTAATTTCTGTTGGGAGCTGCCCAGAGTGGCTGGGGAAACCCGGCTAAATGGGCGGGGTATGAAGGAATAAAATAATAATTATTCCTCCTGCTCCTCCCTGGCTGGCAGGAGACTCTCCTGACTGCCCGCCATTCCTCCCCATTCCCTGCCCTGCGGCCTTTGCTGGGCGCTCCTTCTGCTTTCTCTGGACAGAGGAGCGGGAGAAAAGGCCGCAGGATGAGGCCAGAGGCCGGTCAAGGCCAGCGAGGAGCGTCGCTTCGGCCTCCCGCTTCCCCTCCCAGGAGAAGACGACCTTTCCCCGTCGCCCCTGAGTTCCCCCCAGGAGGGACGCGGCTCCCTCCCTCTCGCCCCCCAATTCCGCCCCTGGCTCGGCCCACTCCCCCCAGTTACCCGCCTCCAGGAAGGACAGCATCAACCCGGGGAAGCGGAACAGGAAGCGGAAGCGCCTCCTCTCTCGCCAGTCTTCTCTTCCGCTCTAGGAATAGAAGCTCTATCGCCCCAGTTAACCCTTGCGGAGCCGCGGGGTAGGAGCCTCTTGGCTGCTCCGGGCAGAGAGGGAGGAGGAGCGCCCGGCTGGTCTCCGGCTCTGAAGCAGGAAGGGGAAACCCGGCTGCAGGATCAGGCCAGCGGCGCCCCCAGGACAGAATCCCTCCTCCGCAGGTGCTCCAAGCAGGATCTGAGTTCAAGAGCAGCTTTATCCTCACCTTTAGTATTCTACTTATTTATATCCCGCCTTTCTCCCAGACCGAGAGCCAAGGCGGCTTACAAAGGGGTTGCCATGGTTATAAATTCTAAAAGGCAGGCGGCATTAAGAGGCAAGGAATTGCAATTGTTTCAAAGATCCTGGTTGAAATCAGAATTAGGAAAAAAAAATTAAAGATGCACATATTTTGTGAAATCAGCTGAGAAGAGAGGTCCAGAGGCTGTAAAAAGATGAGTGCTTTAAATATTTTCAAATGACAGAATACCTGACAGAATCTTGAGTTTGGATTGGCTATTTTGGATCCAACTGAGTCCTTTCCAAGTGTGCCTCTAAAATGGTGCATGCAGACAGGGAAACAAACCCCCACGAGGGACCTTGGTTTCCTGGCTTAGAATAGCACGCACGATGTGGAAATTCATGAAGGAGGTCCTGACCGGAGATCAAAATAAAACTAGGTAACGGAATAAAAAAAAATTTTATTGTGCACACAGGTAGGGCTCGTGTCACATGATTTTTCCCCCACGCACCAAAATATAGTTGGGACTGGCCACTGAGACCACATAACACCTGTCCTGAAAGACGTACATTGGCTCCCACTACGTTTCCAAGCACAATTCCAAGTGTTGGTGCTGACCTTTAAAGCCCAAATTGGCCTCAGCCCAGTATACCTGAAGGAGCGTCTCCACCCCCATCGTTCAGCCTGGACACTGAGGTCCAGCTCCGAGGGCCTCCTGCCGGTTCCCTCACTGCAAAAAGAGGATACAGGGAACCAGGCAGAGGGCCTTCTTGGTAGTAGCACCCGCCCTGTGGAACGGCCTCCCATAAGATGTCAAGGAAATAAACAACTATCTGAATTTTAGAAGACAGCTGAAGGAGCCAAGTTTAAGGAAGTTTTTAACGTTTGATGTTTTATCGTGCTTTTAATATTCTGTTGGGAGCCACCCAGAGTGGCTGGGGAGGCCCAGCCAGATGGGCGGTGTATAAATTATTATTATTGCTACACAAATGTCATAGCTCCTCTGGTGTTTGGGGGTATACAGCCAAATGCAGCATTTTGCGGCAGTAAACAATCAGCTTCTAACATGTTAAGGCATGAGAAATACTATTTTGTTGTTACTGACTTTTGCCTATACACTGCATCTATCTGAACGTAACTGTATCTGCAAAAGCCTACAAGCTGTACATGTTTATTGTTGACTGAACCATTATGGCCATATGCAATATATACATAAATACAGTGGTACCTCGGGTTACAGATGCTACAGGTTACAGACTCCGCTAACCCAGAAATAGTACCTCGGGTTAAGAAC